AAAAAAAAAAAAAAAGCACATGAAATCTGCACACCACCATTTTGTATGTTTTGGACAGATTTAAGAACAAATAAGTGTAAAAATGTAAAATTTTCAATCTCTACCAGTTGGTGTAATTTAGCATTAGTACCAACCCTTAAGGATAAAAAAAAAAAAAAAAAAATTGTGATTGTCCAAGCTGACATAAACAATAATAATGATGGCAATGGTATAATTACACATGTTAAAAATAATATTGTACAATATACTATCGATTCATTCTATAAGGTGTGTGATATGGGATAACCATACCTGGTTGATCAGACTGGAGAGAGATGCCCGAACCAAACCGGATCGGTCATTAGGTAGGACAGTGAGTGAGGACTCATTAGGCCGAAAGACCATCAGGTGACGTTGGAAACACATAAAATACTGGCAGATCGAATAGGGGCCTAGAGTGGTCGAGAAGACATTACTGACGGTCAAATCTTTTTATCTGCCGATCTATTCAATGCTGAAATCAGACCCGCTATCAATGTGGATATCTCCATTCTAGAGTACGGTCTGCAGCTCAAATTAAAGCTATGAAACAAGTGGCTGAAAAATTAAAATTGGAACTCTCGCAATTTACAGAATTAGAAGTGTCCGTATCTCTAACAAATGGGATTTCGCATAAATCTATCCGACTTTTTCGGGTTAACCAAAGAGGCTTAGTACATGAGTTTTAAAAAATTGGGATTCAATTTGGATTAATAATCTACCTGGTCGAAGGATCGACCATGCGAGCAGAACAACAAAACTTGATGATCGAAGAGTTTTTATCTCGAGGTAATAAGGGTTAAAGACGGGTGTTGGACCGTCTTATAAAATGGCATAAGAAGATAAGAAGGAATCTTAGGGAAATTAGACCCCTCCCCTCATGTGGGTAAAACCACGTGGCATCACCTGAGTGATCCACACCTGAAAACCATTTCTGACAGCTCGGATGACTTTGACAGCTCTGACAATCAAGGTAACTTGTGCGCTAACTATGGAGGAGTTCACGCGCTCGACTTGGACCCTAAGAAAGGTATCATTTCCCTGTATAAGGGAATGTGGTATGCTTTGATTTACATTACCTTCTCTATTATACACACTATATTACAGAGAGCTTTTACTCTTTCCACTTCATCTTCTACACTTACTCATGTAAGTATCAGAGACTCTTCACCGGAGATTTCAGGTTCAAGGACGTTCTACCGACAACCAGCTCAAGATCTGGGCGTTTCTAGCCGGTCGGAGGCGTTTTTGTTACCAGTGTGCCATTCAAGGACTGTATTGGCATTTCTTGGAGTTTCAACAATCCACCCAAAAACATAAATATAAGTGAATCATGAACCCTAAACATAGCTTTTCTAGATTCATTCTGAGTTTATGTTGAAAGATCTTTTGCTTTTAAAACAACTCACCTTCTTATCTTCCTCTTAATTACTTATGCCATATGAAATGTCTGGCTTATGTTCCAAGATGGAACTAATGAACATTTTTTAAACCTTATGGAATGGATAAAGTGTTAAGCGATTGATCAAATCATAGACAAGTTAGGAGCCATGTGATAGGTCAATACTTTCCAAACAAAAGATTTTAGTTGAAATTTGAATATTGATGAGTAGATGCCTTTAACAGTTTTGCTACAGAGCAATCGGATGGCTCGACTTATAGAGCATTCATAGTTATTCACCAATAGTGTATTGACACGTATCCTACAATAAATACAATTTGTACATGTGTCAATACATTAAGTGGTCGATGGCTCAATAAGAAAACAATTGGATGACTCCATAAAATTTTTTTATGCCTTAATTGTATGTTTTTTTAACCTTCACTTTTTTTTGGTCATTGTGTGTCATATATGTTTTTTCCAGCTGTTTGAATTACAAAATCCGCTTTCACGGGGCTTCATAATATTATACCAAATTTTTGAAGATCAACTTTTTCATCATCATGCCTTGACAATATTACGCAATGCAACAAAACAAGTGTGGTTCTGCTTAAGAGGGACAATGCACAAAAACGAAGGAAACAACATACATTTGCAGCTTTTTTGAAGAATATTTTCTTAGGCACTTGCACCTCCTCCGCGGGCTGGATTTCTGCCTTTTGCTTATTTTGTCTACCTTTGCTTTTTCCTCCTTTGATCTCGAGTCGCTCGGCCTGCTATCGACATCTTTGTTTGGTTCTTCCGACCTCATCGCGTTCCTCCGATTCACCCCCACTGTGAGCTGATAACACGTCTTTGACGTATCAACTGGTCTTCTACAACATCGCCTACCCTTTCGCCCGTCGGATACTTGATTGTCATGTGATAAGTCAATACAACGGCCTCAAAGGCGTTCAAGCTCGTCCTTCCAAGTATGATGTATACGAATATTCCGCGTCCATGACTACAAATCTCACTATTTTTACTTTCCTGGTCACGCCCGTTCCGAGGACCACCGACTCGCCTACACGAACAACCTCGCTTCCGTTAAAGTCATACAGAGAGGTGACCACCTCCGTCAACTCGATCTCCAAGCACAGCGGGCTAAAGTAGTCATAGAACATTACATCCACCGAGCTCCCTATGTTAATGATTACCCTCTTTACATCATACCCCATCACCTTAGTTGTGATCACCAGCGTGTCGTTATGAAGTATATGTAAACCCTAAGAATCTTAAGCCCTAAAGCTGATTATGAGCGCTTGAGTTGTTATGCTAACTTCTTCTATCTTCCTTTTCGCAGCTCGAGCATGCTCCTTTCTCGCATTGTTGGAGTCCCCGTGTGGGACCCCCCTCTTAAGCGGGGCCTCTTCCTCCCCCAAGGTTGATCTCCTCTACCACGATCTCTTTTCCACCATACTTTCGACCTTCTCCTCATGCTCCTCTCTATCATCGTCCTCATCCCTATCCTCATTCTCTACCGAATCCTCCCGACATCTCCTTTTCTCCTTTCTCCTCTATCCTGGTATACAAACTCCTTTAAGTGGTTAGCTCGAATCAGTCTTTCGATCTTATCCTTCTAGTGTCTGCAATTGTCTGTCATATGACCATAGTCTTTCGATCTTATCCTTCTATTTGTAATTTTTAATTAATAAATTTTCTATTACAAAATGATTCAATTGTTTTTATTAAAGAAGTTTATGGATTTATATCTTTTTTAAAAACAAAATCCCATAGATTTTTGGCAAGTAGGATATTATGAAGCGTGCCAGCGTGCAAATACTATATAATATTAAAAATATTAAAAACATATGGTTGTTGGCAAATGCGCAAAGGGACGAATCGAAGCGAGGGAGGGACGAATCGAAACGACAAAGGGCTGAATCTCAGCGGATCGTGGCAGTAAGGCCATTTTGCCGCTTCCAATACCCCGTCGCGTATTTAAGTTTTCTGCAAAGGATTCTACCCGCCGCTCGATAAAAATTGAACTTCAAGGCGGCCAACGCGGCAAGTCCGCCGCGAGGGCTTGGCCCACAACACGTGCCTTTGGGAGCCTAATGGCCCTACTGCTGGTCAGCAAGCGGACGACGGGCGCATGCATCGCTTCTAGCTCGGATTCTGACTTAGAGGTGTTCAGTCGTAATCCAACGCATGGTAGCTTCGCGCCACTGGCTTTTCAACCAAGTGTGATGACCAATTGTGCGAATCAACGGTTCCTCTCGTACTAGGTTGAATTACTATTGTGACACTATCACCAGTAGGGTAAAACTAAACTGTCTCACTACGGTCTAAACTCAGCTCACGTTCCCTATTGGTGGGTGAACAATCCAACACTTGGTGAATTCTGCTTCACAATGATAGGAAGAGCCGACGTCGAAGGATAAAAAAACAACGTCGCTATGAGCGCTTGGCTGCCACAAGCCAGTTATCCATGTGGTAACTTTTCTGACACCTCTAGCTTCAAATTCCGAAGGTCTAAAGGATCGTTAGGCCACGCTTTCACGGTTCATATTCGTACTGAAAATCAAAATCAAACGATCTTTTACCCTTATGTTCCACACGAGCCTTTTGTTCTCGTTATCTCTCGGCAACTCACCACATTAGAGTATTCCAAGAAAAATGACATGTTCTCAAAAAAAGCGTAAATGCCTAGCCGAGTCTTCCATCGTAAGTGAGACTAATCTCTTTAAAGTTCGTAGGTAGGTTCGCTAGTAGAATGTCGCAGGAGAAAGGATGGCCTCGCGCTCGCCCCACCTTCTTTCTTTCGACCTTCGCCTGAAGCTGTCGGAATTATTCAACCATCTTTTTTAGGGCTCGATCATTCTCGACCTCAACAGCTTTGTTACTCAATTTTCCAGATCGGTCTTCTGCGTTATCGTGGTATTTTTTGCGGTAGTCGAGTGTGAGATTTGTTGAGCCTGTATCTTAGATCCCTCTGCAGCTCGAGCATCCCTCAACATCCTCAGGATCTCCTCTTTTGTTGTCGTGACAAGCTGTTGGGTCGAAGTATCCCCAAGGTGGCCCATAAGCTGCGCTGGGACTGGCTCTGACTGGTTATGCACGCCCAATGGTTGATTTGGCCATGCTACCGGATCTGCGGCTACGAGTTCTGCCAGAGCTGCTCCTCCATGCGAGCTCGAGCCTTCGACGGTTGGTGGTGCTCTCAATACTACAGGCATTCATGCTTTGTCAGGTTGAAGAGACGACCTAATCTCGTTGCGACACATGGCCCAATCCTCACATGGCATTTTCCTCGAGTTAGATTCCTTTTTGTTGTGTTCATGGGACCAGGTCAACGTCATCAGGTAGAACATGCATTAGGTAGAACATCTTCTTCTCCAACTCCCCTATGCTCATGAGGTCGAACGAGGTCCTTTAGGTCGAACTCGGTGTTTGTTCGTCTCGTGGAGCAAGCTGCTCCTTTCAGTTCACCGTCTGCCTGGTCATTACCTATTCAGGTTGATCTCTGATCACGACTTGAGCTGTTGTGTTAATTCGGTCTAGTTACTTGCTTTCATTGGTCTGATTAACCCGGTATGGTATCCCATATCAATGTTAATACATTTAATAGTAAATATATATATATATATATATATATATATATATATATATATATTGAGAAAAAATCTTATTTGGAGTCTTTCAAATTAATTTTTAGAACATAAAAGCAAATTTGAAACTCCTTCTCAAACTTGGTTATGAATGAATACATTTAGACCTTACATTATATTGCCAAAACAAGTGTTTCAATAAAAAATTCTACAGAGTCATCAGATGGTTTTCTTATGGAGCTATCCATCACTTTATGTATTGACACATGTCCAAAGTGTATTTATTGTATGACACGTGTCAATGCATTATTTGTAGATAACTGTGAATTACTCTATAAACCGAACCATTCGATGACTCTATAACAAAACTGATGCTTCCATAATCAATTCTAAAACTTCAATGACATACATGCATTTATATTAAGTTCAGCATACCCTGCCTTTCGGCTCCATGGAGCTTTGTAAAGACATCACAAATTTTAATAAATGAAAAATTGATATGAAAAGGCGGGCGAAGAAAGAGAAAATAAAAATAATTGAGGGAAATGCTACAATTTTTGTATGATTTAATTGATCTAACGGTTACAAAATTCAACGAAATAGTTCCGTAACGGGACCCTAAATGCATGTCCCAATAATTGAAGTGTAGTGATCATCAAATAACGGAACCCATTTTCCCATTTATCATATCATTTTTCCCGGGCGGTTTTTCGTCACATCTCAAAATTCCATCAAACCTTTCTTCTTTCTTTCTTTCCTTCTTTCCCACAACTTCCCCCCACCATTTTCTCTGCATTTTCTTTAATCTTCCAAGAAAAAACCAGGTCGTTAAACAGTCACAGGTGCAAAAACGCATACATACATACATACATTCCCCGTGCAATAAAACACATGTAGCTCGCGGGATATTAAATACATGTGCGGTAATGCACGCATTTTGATATATCATCATCTTCTTGCCCATTTTTTTTTTCTTTTGTTGTTCTGATCGAAGGAAGGTTTGGCAATGGCGGAGGGTTCGCCGCAATTGGACGTGGCGTCGGTGATGGTGGATGTTCTTCAGCAACAAGGCAAGAGGCTGAGCGACATTGATTTGGCCTCCAGGAAAGCAGAGGAAGCAGGTACGTTAATCTTGTGAAAAATTAGCCTCTCTGTTGAATTTTGATTGTTTTTTGTTAGCTCTTTGCGATTTTTAGTATCTGCGGAATTTTTATGCATATTTGGGGGCCATCTTTTTAGTCTGTGTTTTTCTATTGTCCGATATGTGAGATTTGATTGTTTTTGGGAATAGTTATGAAATGGATTTCCCCCTTTTGTTGTGTTCTTTGGTTTTTTGCAGCGTTGAGAAGATACGACGCTGCTGGATGGTTGAGAAAGATGGTGGGAGTTGTTGCAGGAAAAGATTTGCCTGCACAGCCGTCTGAAGAGGAATTTAGGCTCGGCTTGCGAAGTGGGATTATACTTTGTAATGCACTTAACAAGGTTCAACCCGGTGCCGTACCGAAAGTAGGTCCTATCATCTTCGATTTATTTGTTTATTTTTCCCCTCTTCATGTGGATATCCATTTTGTTACTTCACTTGACAAGGGATTTTCATTCGGTTTTTGTTGGCTAACTTTTTCCTTAGGTAGTCGAGGCGCCTCCAGATACCATAATCATCCCAGACGGGGCCGCTCGATCTGCATTCCAGTACTTTGAGAATGTGAGGAATTTTCTTGATTCTTTAGAGGAAATGGGGATACCTGGCTTTGAAGCCTCTGATTTGGAGCAGGTATTAATTTTGTTCAACGTTTGTGCTTTGTTAAAAATGCCTTTCAGTTCTGGTCTGATAAAAAGGTTCGGACACTGATATTGATTAGGGAGGCAAGTCTTCAAGAATCGTGAACTGTGTGCTGGCCCTGAGATTGTACAACGAATGGAAACAAGGAGGCGGGAAAGGAGTGTGGAAATTCAGTGGAAACATTAAGCCCCCTTCAGCCACTAATAAGCAATTTGTCAGGAGAAACTCCGATCTCTTTATTAATTCGCTGTCGAGGAACTTATCCACATTTGATGACAAGTCTGTTGATAGCTTGGAAAATGAGCAGAACTCTACTTGTGATGCTGGGCAGGACATTAATGAGATGGTATGATACTTCCCGCTCCTTAATTCTAACCACCATAACTATTTTGCAAACAACGAAAAGTTAAAAGTTGAAATATATAGTGATACCTTCACCCTTCAAATTTACAGGGTTGCTCTCGTTCCTTACACATGCTTATTCGTGAACTTCTATCAGAAAAAAAGCAAGAAGATATCCCAATGGTGAGTGGTGTTTAATTTTGCTTCAAAGGCATTGACAAGTATAGTTTCAGAATGTTTGAGCATCATCAGTCTACAGTAGTATAAAAAACTACCACAGTTTACTAGAGCTGCAGTTTTATGACTTTCTTAGATCATGATGGTCTCGAGTTTATTTTGCATATACATTCTTCCACTAGGGATAACTCTAAGTTTTTTTTTTTTTTTTTTCTTTTTTTCAGATTGTGGAGAATATGTTGAGCAAAGTCATGGAAGAGTTTGAGCATCGGTTGGCAAGTCATAATGAAAAGGTATTCAAGCTATATTCATTTTGTTCTCCAAATTAGAAATTTGTTCCGTGGTCTGTGACTATTCATTACTTACGCGACATGTTTCTAAAAATATTGCAACTTAAGTAAAAAATGATCTAATAAAATAGAAAACCAATTATGAATGAAGTTCTTTACCTTTTTTGTTTTGGTTATTACAGGCCAGAACAACCCCAAGAGAGGCAGGTTTTCTAAGTCCCAGCGAGCGTAGAGATTACCCAGTGACTGAGGTCGGATTAGGATCTGCAAATTTTAATGATGTTTAGAGATCTTCAAGTACATAAAATTTACTTTTTCTGTTCTAAAATAAGGTCCTAGTCGTGATGAAAGAGCAGTCTGCATCAAGCAATGAGGAATCTCCGAGTGTGATGAAAGAACAGAGTTCGTCTGGCAGTGATGAATTGGATGGACAAGCTATGAAGGACCAGGACTTGGTTGAACACCAGCAAACTAGCATAAAGGTTCTCATTCACATTAGTGATTAACTGTAGAAAGGAGATATTTCATCTACAATTTGGAGTTGACTCTCTATTCTAATGGAAGGTGTCAAACATAATAAATGAGGAGGGTTGGTCTGACAATGTTGAAATGAAAGAACGCGCTATGAAGCACAAAAACTTGGTCGAACACCAGCAAAGAAGCATACAGGTCTGGTCCACATTAGTGATTAGCTGTAAATTAACACACACATCACATCTACAATTTGAAGTTGACAGGAACATTTATGTCATTTATGTAGGATTTAAAAAATTCTCTTGATTCCACCAGAGAACACATGAAAATGTTAAGCATTGAGTATGAAGAAAAAGTTAAGACTCTTGGTATGGGTTTTACTTGTGATTCATGTTTTTACAGGGAACAATAAAGGAATGCGAACTGAGTTTTGTTTTGTTGATAGGTAAACATCTCAAAAGTCTGGCTCATGCAGCTTCTGGATACCAAAAAGTACTAGAGGAGAACCGCAAACTATACAATCAAGTACAAGACCTCAAAGGTTAAAAAAAAAATATTCTTTTGGTTTCCATGCATAATTTAAGTAAGAAAATTTTATTTTATGTTCTGATGATGTCGTCTCATTCATAATTTATAGGAAATATAAGGGTATACTGCCGCATACGACCCTTTTTACCTGGGCAGCCATCTTTTTTGAGTGCAGCGGAAGTTGTAGATGAAAAAACTCTCACAATACTCACTCCTGCTAAACATGGAAAAGGGAAGAAGTCATTCTCTTTTAACAGGGTTTTTGGTCCATCTGCAAGCCAAGGTAATGGAAGTTTCAAATAGTATATTTTCACAACTAACTTTCTTGAGAAGCTAATTAATAAGCAGGAGTTCTTTGTCCTTTGTTCCATTTCATTTCTGCAGAAGAAGTATTTTCAGATACCCAGCCATTGATTCGTTCTGTCCTTGATGGGTATAATGTATGCATATTTGCCTATGGTCAAACTGGATCGGGGAAAACGCACACAATGGTGAGTGTTTTATCTTTCCAGGTTAGCATAACATTTCTTTATATCATGGATTTTTTAATTTTATTTTATTTTATTTTTTTTTTAAGAATAAAACAAAAAAAAAAAA